GGAAAAGAGTGGAAAACAAAAATACTCAAGACCTGTGGTCCATTAATGAAAATCTCCAGATTGCAACAACCATAAAACAGTTATTAAGATGAAGGAAATAAAAAGCTTAAATAAATTTTAGTTATTTCTTTTAAATATTATTTTCATAGTGTTTTCAAAGCCTGCAATATCCTCTACTCAGGTTACCAAGCCTCCTTTTCTTGTAGGCTTCAACAAATACTTTAGTTTCTAGGAAAGCTGAGATTTTACCATACTGACATGACAAGATCTGTGACAGGTGAAGAACAACTCCCCACACATGCACATCCAGTTAATTGCAAACTAGCAACGCACAAAAATTGTAAAATAAAAAGCAGTTGTCCTGCATTCCTCATCCTCAGGATCAATTAACATCTCTACAGCTTGAGCAAGAGATACTCAATTACCTTGTCACCACATGACTCATAAAATCATTAACTCTTCTACAACCCCAATCAAATCCATGAGATTGCTGCAAACAAGAACTATTTTTACCAATTTACAAAATGGATAAAATCTTGACAAGAGTGATGTTGCTACTGACCACATCATTAAGAAACCATTGGCATGTCACTCCCTTTGGTGTTTTGTCTTATGTATTTAATACAGCTTCAAAACTACCCTGGGTATGAAATGCAAAGACATTTATTCCTAACATTTTGGCAGCTAAGGTGCAAGAGTTTCTAAACCATAACATTGAGTTGTTGTTGTGAATAACGCCCAAGTGCAGTTTTTCTGCTGACACCATCCTGAGAAGTGTATCATACATACAATTTTAATTTTAATAATTCCCAGATTTCAATCAACATAGAGGACATTTTCAATTCTGAGTCATAGAAAACCTTCAGTTTTTCCTTTTTTACCTTATTTGCTAGGCTAGGAGTCACATACCTTCCCTTCACTTTCCAGTGATGACACAGGGAGGAAGAAGGGCAAATCACTGGGGAGACCACCATATGTATTTAGAGAACCAATTTGAAGAGGTTGATGGTCCTAAACTGAGGAACCAGATGATTCTAAACCAGAATTGTGAAATAATTAATAAAGGGCATCAGAGAGGGAAATGATACATGACTTCACTGCAGATACAGACTACGGCAGATTACTTTGTCTAACATATCAACGCTCTTGTTACACAACATATACAAGGCCTTGACAAAGGATAGAAGAAAGTTATTTATTGGACCCTGGTGACTAAATGGAACATTTTAAGGTCAAGGCTAAAATCATGGGAGCTTTCAGGTTAGTGTGTACTTACTAGCAGAATTCTTCAGACATTGCTTTTTGTGATCATTACTGTAGCTACACAGAATGTAAAATCTTTATGCCAACAGACTATGCTGTGAACCATGTTGAGGAGAACATCATCATAAGAAGAAGAACCACCAATGAGAAAAAAAAGATCTTTGAGGAGATGGATGACAGACACCAGAAGTACCATAAATAAGGCAAAATTTAAAAAGATGCATTCATGCTCTAGACCTGCATGTTTCATGAAACCTGTGAAGTTCCAAAAAGATACCCAAATCCTTCCAAGTATTTTGAAAATAAAGACTTAGTGCTGAAATTATTTTAGGGTGTGGGAAAAAGTGTTTGTTTTGGTCAGAGGTGACCAAGTTGGGCTGGGTCCCAAAATCACACTCCCACTCAAGACTAGGCAGAAACTCAAAGGTCTTGGCACAACACCCTAACTTCAGCAATTGGATTTATGTAATTTCTGGGAGCATTCCAGCAAGTTCTGCTACGCAGTGTTCCTGATGGTTTGCAAACAGTCTTTGCAATAACATAACAAGGGCCTTTTTCACACGAAGCTTTGTTATAAGGAACAGGTTGAATGGCAGTGCTGTAATGCTGCTCAAGATAAGTATGATGCTTTTTAAAGTGTTTTATAAAATAAGCACCAACTTGTCTGAGTGGGCTGGGTAGCAATTTCATCACCCATTATGTTCTCACTGCAAAGTCTCACTGAAATGAGTATGATGCCTGCACTACTGATGTCGATATGTGCTTGTGTACCAAAATTATCACTTTGGTTTTTCTAGCATTACATAGCACAGAAAGTTCAGAAATATAGGAGAACTAGTGCTGCATGTCAAAGTAAGGTTATCCATTAACTGAACACAAGTGGATGAAACATCCAAGAAAAAACACATCTGCTTCAGGAGCTGGGGTGTCTTTTTTTACTCAGGGAGCTTTAGGCAGCATTGCATGTTCCCGTCATCCAGCTGTGCTCCAGTATGACAGCTAATATGGTGTTCCATGGCACAGCTTTGGAGGAGTAAAGACAGTATACCAAACAGTGGGAGCGACAATATCCCAGTATCCAGGCACAGCTGGGCTGAGGACAAACTAAAGTCACCTTTTTCCTGTGATTCCCAGAGGCCTATTCTGTTTTTAACTTTGTTGTCTTTGTTTGATCCTGCGGTTATTCTAATGCAGTTTCTGCATGTTTCCATTAATTCTGCCTTCCTGTACAACACTCTAAGCCATATTACAAATGGGGGAAGAAGAGAGAGAGTAACAAGCTCATAAAGTGATCGTCTCAGACAATCTTCAAATGTACTGGCTAATTGGATATATAACTCATAAATGATGATGGAGAAGGGATGCCTAACAACATAGAGAAAGGAAACTAAATCTAAAAAAGCTTAATCTCCATTCAGCTGAATGAACAATAGGCATTGAATGAACTCAAATAGGCATTTGAGTTCATTAGCTCTGATATTCTAAAAATCGTAACAATAAATACAATCCTTCCTGCAAGCACACATTTCTTCTAAGTAAATGACTGCAGAAGGAATGGCTATTAAAAGCACTGCAATTACTCTAAATTTGTACTGTAAACAGGGTAACACCAGACCATAATTAAATTAAATATGAAACATTTCATTGTCCCAAACACATGACATTCAATTTGATGAGTGCATTTGTAGTAGCACCAGCAGCATCTTTTCAGATTTTGCACATTGCTTTAAGTAACTACCACACCAACCAAAACACTGACACATAAAGCACATGGAAAGACCAGACAAAAGCACTTGAGGAGGAATTGTGCTTGAGATGGCATCTCTATAAAGACTGCATGGCTCAAATCTCCTGTGACTGTTTGGTTTAAGTAACTGTGAGAAGTAGCTAACTCCTTGTGCATCCAGCTCCATAGGGATGTGTGCTATTTTGAGTTCAATTCAATCTGAGTACTTGAACACTGTTGTAAACATCACTTCAAAATCTGACACACATTTCATCCAGTCTGAAATACTTATGACCTCCACAATCTGAAGTATATACTATTCTTCTATTTTCTAAGTACAGTAAAAGGAAAAATCTATTAGATATTTAGCTCAATCTTAGTGCCATACATTAAGAGTTAATAATTTATTAATCATCAGTCAAGAAATCCTTATTACATTTGACAGTTTTTGGAGGGGCTTTGCTTTCTTCTTTAAAGGACCTTCAACAACAAGAATCAGTTAGGGAAATATTTTGATATATGGCTTTGACATGTTCTTTTGATTTACATATTAAAGCAAGGAGAAGTCACGTGCTTTCACTAACATATATCACTTTCAAATTCTTCAGGGCAAAACAGATTTAAAATTTTTAGTTCTTGTGTAGTAGATTTTGTGTAGCAGAGTTCATGTCACTATGTTACCCATTATAACCGCATTGCCTCCCAAATAGGTCTTTTTCTTGCAAGAACTCCCTCTTAACAACATAGATAAGTTATATAGTTTAGAATTATCAGCACGATAAGTTTTCTTAAAAATGGAAAAAAATTGTATCAAGAAGAAGCCCTGTAAACAACCAAGCATGCTACACTTTAGGAAGATAGGCAAGCATGGTGCACAGGGAGAAAGCCAATAAGAACAACTCTTGCTCCCCAATTTTCCACAAGATAACAGTTCTCTGGTGCTTTAAGGTACAATCACATTTATCATGCTATCTTAAAACAAATGTAAGGTTCTTATGATTTATTTCAGCAAAGTGGAAATGAAGAAAAAAGATACTGACAGTCACTCACATGGTAAAGAACAACAAAAAAAAGTGCATCAAACTTCAGCAGCTGAACAAGGCACAGCTTCACTGCAAAGGTCCCAAACCAGTGGCCAAAACAGCAGAAACAGGCAATTTCTGCTCATGGCTGAATTATTTTCACACTGCCAACACCTTGCCCTGACAGTGCCACACATGACCCAAGGCAGGCGCTGCATGTGGCTTCCCTCCTTCCCACCCTCCCTGTGGGCACCTCTGGGCACATCCTCTTCTCCAGAATACCACGGCAGACCAGCAGCTCTGAAACCTGACAGGCACAGTGGACAAACTCTAAGAAGGTGCAGGGTCCAGCATACAGTTTGCACAGGGATTTCTGAGCGGGTGGTTTATTTTGGTTTTGGCAGAGCTGCTGAGTGCCACCACGTGAGTGCCAGCAAAAAAAATCCCCACTTAATTCACCAGCAGTGGTCTTGGACCTGCAGTGAGGAACCAGCCCACTCAATTTACTCACTACTGGAAAGACCAGGTCATGGCAGAGGCTTAGTAAACTGACTCTCCCTCAATAGCAAACATTATTCATCAACTTCAACTTACAAATGAGTGCTTGCTGCCTCTGTAGTGCTTTAAAAATATCCGCACAGCCTTCCAAAGGCACTCTACAAGGGCTACCGCCACCTTACTCGCTCCTCAACACAGTGTTTTAACAAAAGGTTTCCAGCAGTCAGACTGGATTAACTGCATCTGAAATCTCACCAGGGTCTGCAAACAGACCCTCTTTACTTTGAGAGCTTCTGTGCCACTTCAGATGCTTTGTATTGTTCATCGGCAGCAGAGCCAGAAAGAGCTCTCACAGGAACTGACTTTAATACACACATGAGGCTCACGTTCTAGCAAGGGAGGAATATTGCTTGCATTTTTGGAGTTTAAACATCTTAAGAACATAACATTTATCACAGCCAAAGGAAAATGAGGTTATGCAAAACACTTACTTCGAAAATGTTCTGAGGCATAATAATAGACATCCTCATAGCCCTCGTGGTAATCCTCCTCTGGCCGGTACTTTTTGCCTTTTCTTCTTCTCGATCTTCTTATCTGCTTGACAAAGCCCAAGAAGCGCTCCATGTCCTTCCTCACTCACAGCCCCAGCCGGCAGCCCCCGTCGCCCTGTGCTTCACAAAGAGCTGTCCCAGCATGAATCAACCACAAGCGCCGGAGCAGAGCTGCAGCTCCCACCAGCCGCTCCGCTACCATTAAACAACCCCTCCCTTATCTCAGCTGTGACTAGGAAGCATATTGTTTTCCCCTTTTTTTTTTTTTAAAAAAAGGGACACACACACACAGACACACTTTATCACTGACTGGAATATTTCAACCTGAAAATAAATAAAGGAGGAAAGCATTGAAGCAAAAGGAGAATTTCAGCATTTCAAGCTGTTATTAAGCAGCAGAGGACAAAGTTGAAGAGATCTGCTTGTCAGCAAGGGGAAGCCCAGCACTGAGAGCTCCCTATCCTGTGTCTCCATCATTTGAAGAGGGGCTGGGAGGCGGGGATAGATGTTAGTCAATGGACTGAACCATATCTCACGGCAAAACAGGTTTCCATTAGCCAGTTAAATGCTGCCCTCATATCTACCCAGGCAAAGGCTCAGGAGCACGTTTGATTTCATTTGTTGTAAGAACAGGAAACATGCCAATCCATTTCTGGCATCTCATAGACTGGATGAATAAATAGCAAAGTGGTTTAATCCATACACACAGCCCACTCACCGGCAAGTGTGCGCCGAATGCGTTAATTGGAGCAGCAGGGAGAAAGCTCGGCAGCTGTTATAAGATGACACATATACCCACTGGGCATCAGTGTATTCTAATCACTGCTAGATCTAAACATTAAAAGGCACTCCAGACAGGTCTCCTACAGAGCTGGCCAGGGAATATGGCAATAGGCAAACAAAGGAAGCGACAACACAAGCACACTATGGCAATACTCATTTCAAATCCCATCAGAGTTCAAAAAACTTTAAAATTAAGGCGTAGCAGAATATCCTTTGCTCAGGGTGAGAGAAGCAAAAAGCCTGAAAAGGCGCTGGCTTTCTTCTCTTGCTGCGTGCCTGAAACCCACATGCATTCCCTGAGATAAGGCTGGAATTTCATCCATGTTTCTGATGAAGTTTCCCTCCCACACAAAAACAAAAGCAGTAACTGCTCGAATTTTATCATGCTGACATCTGTCAGGGGCTTTTTATTGTAATCACGTTCCTGCAAGACCTGGGAAGTCTCTAGTCCAGCAGGACTTCTGTCTGTTGGCACAAGTCAGGGATCAAGCAGTCACCTCAGTCAAACTATGTGCTGAACATGGTCACTTGCATCCAGGCTCCCAAGAGATACCATTTTGCACTTAAGAGCATAAGGAAGTCAGAAAGTCTTCCTGTAAAACAGATTTTACAGGTTCATCGTCTGGAAAAGAAGAGCATGCAGAGCAGGGATTAGTTTCTGGTGATGCAGACACTTCAGTGAGTCATTCTGCAAAGAGTAAACCAGGGCAATGTTTTCAAAAGAAGAAAAGAAAAAGTAAAGCAAAAATCAGGATTGTAACTTAGCAATTCTGTTTCAAAAGAAGTATGCAGACATTAATCGGTATTAAGCTGGAATTTTCTAGTTTTGAAACATGAAAGTTGTAAGTAGAGGTCACCTAGACCTGATACCTGAGGATCCTAAAACACTCACACACAGTGGAAGATGGAACTGGAATTCTTTTGGGCTTGTTCCAGCTTTCCAGGTATTTTAAAACAGTATTGTCACAAACCCACACCCATTTTATCCATAAAAGCTCAAAAATACCTGGATGCTCCTGCCAAGCTCCCCACAGGAATACACTCATCCTCCTTGACCTCACCAGCCCTGCTTGCCCGCTGTGAAAATGCAGTCACTGTCGCTAGCTGATGAACACCCCCAGGGCACCACCAGAACTATTTTTAGTGAGACTTCTATAAGGAAGTTGTGTTTCATTACAAGTCTGTTTTTATCACACAGCTTTCAACTTTCAAATGGTAAAGACCTTAGAGGAGTATTACAGGCATATTACCAAAATTTAAAAAGCCAATAAAACTTCACCTATGGACTTTAGGTAGGGATCACTGTAAGTTTTGAAGGTTTCAACTTGCATCTCTTCTGTGCTCTGCCACTGAGCAGCAAAAACATTACTGTCACGAAACATGAAAACCAAAGATGTAGCCTACAGCAGGGGCAGGACTCTCTCTTTTCAGAGAAGGAAATGTTGGCTTGTTGCCCCTGTTGAGGACTCTCCCTGACAGATGTGAAAAAAGTATTTGTAGGTGTCAGAAACAGTCAAGACAGAAGTCTTGCAGCTATCACTGCCCCATGAAGTTAAATTATTAAGTTTAATTAAAAATTACGAAGCTTTTTAAAAAGGAGAAAATATAAAACTTTCTGGCTTTTAAACTGTCTTCTAAATGGAAGCTGAAAACTGGAATAAGCAGACACACTTGGCTTTTACTAAGTAAATACAACATTTTCCAGTGCCTCTGTTTCTCAACATGCTGCAGCAGAAGCAGTTTCCCTAGTTCTCAGCACACCCCAGGGAGACTTCAGGCCTTTCCATAACAAACAAATACAGCAAATAAGCAGATAAGGGAGCAACCAAATGATCTGAAGTAGCAGCACAAGCAGCAGGTGCAGGACATCAACTGCCTGACCACTGTCTAGAGAGAACCAGTGTAAGACTGTGCAAATTTTGAGCTTTGGAAAGCACATTATTACCTTGTGCAATGGACTTCCCCTTCTCTCTCATGCTCATGAGGTGCATCACACAGCTATATGGCTGCAGAAAATAATGCACCAAATGGTACTACTGGCCAGGGCTCATGATAATAGCTCCCTCCCATGCTGTGTGTAAAGTATGAAGGGGTTGCGGGGCAGCACAAGCTCTCCTCAGATAAGCAGAGGGGGTTCAAGCTCTGCTGCACTCACTCTACCCCACCACCTACCACTCCCCACACAGACCAGGCTCCATCTCCTACGCTAAAGATGCAGAAGCAGGCCTGCAGTTTCTAACACAATCCTGCCAGCATAAATCATGCATCCATTTCCTTTTGCATGAATGCAAACAGCAGACACACATAATTCAGAATTTTTACATATTTTTTAAAAAACATAGAGCAACCCAAGCTTTTGATTGGATTTTCTCTGACCTAAAATACTGTGGTATTTGGGGCAATTTAAAGAGAAGGAAATACCTTAACTGAGGACATTGTTATATATTAATACGAGGCAGAGCATTAAAAGCTTTACTATACTAGCAAGATTTCTCAACAACACTTTTGTTTCATATGCATTACATACCACTGCTACTGTTTGCTGAAAATGCTGGAGACATTCATTAGCTACTCCTCATGCCACGCCTGTAAATATTTAATCACAGTCCTACTTTCAAAGGTATACACAGACAACTCAGTTTCATAAACACAGTAGTTAGAAAAAAACCCCAAATAAACAGCTTGACTACTGCTTCCCCCATTGCTCAGGATTCACCCTTCTGCAGCTTCTTGTGGAGAAGAACTCATTTCTCAGTGAACATGAACATGGTTCTTGCAACCTTCTGCTTGAAAAGAAATAAAAAAGCAGAAACTAATAGAGGCATATGGCAGTTTCAGAAAGGTATATAGATTGTACAGGACAAGCAGAGAAAGAAACAAACACTGGCTTTCAAATTTTTAAAATGCAAAACATCAGAGATGACAATGAGTTTCATCCTTAATGACAAAGAGAATAGATAATTGTGCCCAGAGGGCATAAAATTAGATGTTGGTTTATATTCTGAAGCTGTCTCTGAACTAGAATTTGGAGAATCAGTTTTCTGGTGTTTTAATGCCACAACAGAAAGTTGCAATGTAAATATGTCTGAAGCTCTTTGGCTCATCCTTTCTGCCTACTCCAATCAAAGCAAGCATTCTATTACCATTTCCAAGGGGACTTCTTAGAAGAAGCAAGGATTGTTGTGCTGTCTCCAGCATGATTGGCATAACAAAAATGTTGCCAAGTGGCACTGATTAGATAATATTTGCATACTCCATTCTGATAATTAATTTGTTTAAGTTAAGGAGAAGCTCCATCAAACTGAATCACTCTCATGTCAGTGACTTACTGGAAAAGACATCACAGCAATAATAAAACATACATAAATAAGACAGTCCTTTTTGAAAAGTTGAGCTGAAACATAAATGCTTTTGCAGCCATGGATAATTTTCTAGAAGACAGATGTCAGCATTTAAGCTTTAACTTGTCTTTATACCCTACCCAAAGCAAAGATTAGGTTTCTCAACATGTAAAATATCTGCATTTAAGATTTTATTTGCACAAAATTAGCTGTACAGTTATCAAGGTAAACTTTCACAAGTGACATACTTCCCAGTATTTGGGAAAAGCAGCAGGAAAAATGTCTTGGTATCCAAGGATAAGCCACTATGGTAGTAAATATTTAACAAGTATTTCCATTTGAGTGGACTTGCAAACATGATGCTTTGAAACTAGAGCCTGTATATGAAGCAAGACTCTCTAATGCATTGTGTCATAAATACAGAATGGAATGGGCACCAAATAACAGTTTGGGGCAGTATTTTGCACCCTGTTAATCAGACTGTTGCAGGGTTTAAAAGAAGAATAGTTTAGACTGATGAATCCTCCTACCCTCCTGTATCTCCCTCTGCTTCTCTGGGCAGCCCCTGTAAGTCATCTGCTGGGGGAAGCAATGCTCCTCATTGGGAGGCAACTATGTAAGACAGCACACAATGGCACTTGGAGAGAGCTACCTGCTTCAGGTTACTCTTGTGGAAAAACCCCACAGAATTATACATGGACAATACAAAAATTAAGATTAATATAAACAGCTCTTGGAGGCTGGCTGAATAGAGGAAACAGGTTTTTTCCCACCTCCCTCAAACCCCTAAGCATGAAGGTCCAGCAAACCTCAAAGGGAAGAAATTATGGTTTCTTCTCTGGTTCTCCTTCAATTGAGGGATGTCTTTGATAACCCGCTGTCATTGTTTTTGAAGACCAGCAATAACTAATAAAGGAACTATTCCCCTTATTTATCTTACAGTATCATC